GTGTGTCCCAGCACCCTACTGCCCAGCCGGCTGCCAGGCTGTGCCCACAGGGCGGGGGCGGGGCCTGCACTGGCCCATTCTCTACCTACAGGCCTGGCCCAAGCCAGCACTCCCCTGGGGTGCGTGCTAGAGGAGGGAGGTCACACCATCCCGTGAGTGGTGGGCCCCAGAGGAGTCTGCAGCTCCCCCTTAGAATGGTCTGGAATGCCTGGGAAGAGGGCAGGGGCAGTGCCCCGGGGGAGGGGCGAACTTGGGCCCTGGGCATATGTGTGAGGTGTGCATGTGCTCTCCCCTGGAGTGCATACATGCTGTGGGCGCGTGTGTACTTGTATGTGACTATGTGCCATACACGTTCATCTGTGTGCATTGGAGCATGTACTTGTGCAAGCTTCTGTACATGGGAGCCCTGTGTGCCTATGTGCACACACGTGACCATGTGTGCACTGCACGTACACATGGTGTGCAGGGTCGTGTCATCCCTGTGCGTCATCTGTGACTTGCACCAGCTCCTCGAGGGGCGGTGACCGCGGTGGCTGGTGGCTCACGGGGCAGCGAGCCGTGATGAGACAGCCTGTTGGCCTTTGTAGAGGTGAGCGCCAGGGCTTAGGCAGCCAGGAACTGCAGGAGGGTCAGCTCTGACCAGCGAAGGCCCTCCTGCAGTGAGCTCCCACCGCCTGTCTGTCCTCACACAGTGTATGGGGGGGAGGCAGGAGGGGAATCCTGGCCCTGCTGGAGGCCACCAGGGAGACCCAGGCCCACCTTCCTCTCTCAAGCAAGAATCCACTGAATGCATGCAGACTACAAAGGTGTGCCATTTCTAAATGGCACGCAGGCCCGGCCCCCAACAGCCAGCAGCCGCTCCCTCTACACAGGCAGATGGATCGTTTCTTAGGAAGACGCAGCTTATCAAAACTGATCATGGTAGAAGTGGAAAGCATAAAGAGCCCAGTGGCCGTGGGGGCAGCTGAGAACCACTGGGGCCCCCGGGCTTCACAGGGCCCCCCTCAGCTTTGGAAAGTGGCCTGGCAACCAGAAGTTGTTCCTCTGTGGAGAAAAGGAGTCAAAACCTACGATGCACACGCGCACACACACACACACACACATACACACACACGCACACAGGACAGGCCAAGATCACACGTGAATGTGGCCAAAAAATCCTCCTAAACACTATCAAGGAAATGTCACCACCACAGACAATCATGCACAGCCACAGGGTGCCCCTTGTACTGGAAGTCTGCAGCTACAGCCAGCAGGGAACAGGCTTACAGCAGGGTATCCCTACAGCCAACGTGGGGCCGGCCTAAGGAAAATGAGATCTTACACCACACCGGAAGTCCACGACCACAGCCAGGAGGGAGCAGACTTAGGGATAATGAAGCCTTCTCTGGCATACGTGCTCAAAGCCTTTGATGTAACTCAGCTTCTGTTCCCAATAAAGCTCGCAGGGCACAGGAACGATGGACACATCCTGAACGTAATAGAAGACAGGCACCTCAATCCCGAAGCCCCAGGAAGTCCCTCCCTAGCTCAGGGAGGGCAGAGCTGGGCCTGACCCTCTGTGGAACCCCCCCTCCATGATCTAAGAAGATCATCGGGTACACAAGAGTTGGATGAGCCAATGAATATTAACTCATCACTTCCATTTAAAAAAAAAAAAGCGAGAGCTTAGTAAAATACCAGTGACAAATTACAGCCTTGTCAATGGCTTTGACGTGAATCCTGCAAGTGTCCAGGCCCAGTGTGAAGCAGCGCTCAAGGCCTGCCTGCTCCTGTTCCCTTCTGTCTACCGTGGCCCCAGCCCCTGCCAACCGCTGCCCACATGTCTCAGCCAACAGGGGCTAGAGGAGACCCTAGAGGAATCCAGGCCCAAGCTCAGCCCCATTAGCTACCTGCTCTGCATTCTTGAGAAAGCCATTTGATCTCTCTGATTGGGGGGCGGGCACTACACAGGGCGCACCACCCAGGAGAAAAGCTGACCTCAGCCAGTGCCAGTGGCTCACGCCTGTCATCCTAGCTACTCAGGAGGCTGAGATCTAAGGATCACGCTTCAAAGCCAGCCCAGGCAGGAAAGTCCATGAGACTCTAATCTCTAATAATTAATCAGTAGAAAACCAGAAATGGTGCTGTGACTCAAGCGGTAGAGTGCTTCCCTTAAGCTGGAGAGCTGAGGGACAGTGCCTAGGTCCAGAGTTCAAGCCCCACGACCAATAACAACAACAAAAAAGCCAACCTCCAGACTGCCCTAAATCCTGTGCCTGCTCTGACTGCGCCGTCTGCGCAGTGGCTACATTTCCCTTCCGTGGCTTTCCCAAGCCCATGCCCAGGATGAAGCTAATGCCACACGCGTGTCACTAAATGCAAAACAAAGGCAGGTGTTGTCCCTCAGGGGTGCACTGGCGCAGGAGCGCAGAGGGTGGCTGCCAGGCCCAGGCCTGCACCAGGCTGCTCACAGCTCGCCCTGTGCCCTCTCCCCCTCCAAGGGGCCACGTCTTCTGTGCTGCCAGGATCTCCACCAAGGGGCATCGCTTGGCCAGCAGATCCTAGAGCACAAATCTCCATTTCCTACGTGTAGGCCTCACACAGTCGCCTCCTTCCGAAAGCTCAGGACTAAGAAACCCCATGAAAGCTTCCCAGCCGGGTGTCAAAGTGAACACCAGGGGCCAATCACGTGACGCAGGCATGCGCCCTAAACACCAGCAGTGGCCAGTCACATGACGTTCCCAGGAACTCTTAGCATCGTCGGGTGAGAAGGGCACTTTACCTTTGTGGGCTTCCTCCCCAAGACCCATGGCTCCACTGTAATATGAGGAAAAAACATGGGGGAAGACACAACTTGCACAGATTGTAGCTGGGTACATGCCTGTATGCACGCCTGTCTCAGTAGGGCTGAGACAGAAGGATGGTAATTCAAGGCCAGCCTGAGCCACACAAGGAGATAGATGCTTTCTCCAAAGAAAGAAAGAGGAGGGAGGGGGGAGGGAGGGAGGAAGGGAGGGAGGGAGGGAGAGAGGGAGGGAGGAAGGAAGGAAGGAAAGAAGGGAAAAAGAAAGAAAGAGAGAGAAAGAAAGAATTAATTGAGGGTCACTTTATAGCTAACCAAAACTGTCAAGGTCATAGAAAATCAAAATCATTCTAAATGTGAAAATGTATGGACTTCAGTTAATAACAATATTGATTCATCACGTATAAAAAAAATGTACCATACTAAGGTAAGACATTGCAAACAGGAAGAAACCCCTGCCTGTGTGCATGATAACTCTGTTATTTTTACCATGTTTCTATAAATCTGAAACCGTTCCAAAACTAAAGTTTATTTTTTAAAAGACAAAGAAAAAGCTCTGTGCTTCCATCGTGGCTGATCGTTAAGATACCACCTGATGTCCACTTGCCAAAAACAACTGTAAAAAGTACCTCCCATGAGACTGGGCTTGGAAACTATTTCTCCCCAAAATCCTTGCCCTCCGCCCCTGCCCCTCAAAAAAAGAGAAGAAAAAAAGTTAGCTGATGGTGAATCTGGGAAGGCTGTGTTAATCCTGGGCCGAGGGGACTTTCATCTTGTCTGAGAGAAACACCACTGACATGGTGGCAGGGATGAGTTACAGATTCCTAATTGTATCTTTTCAAAGCCAGGATTGCAATCCTCCAACACCCCGCTCTTTTGTTGGCTAATTATTTCCATCTCCAGCCAAAACACAGAATTGTGACTAATTGCCCTCTCCCGGGAAGCCCAGTGAAGGTGATGCCCAAAGTCAAAGCCAGCCCCTCCCCAAAGATGGGCAGCCAGGAAACCAATCAGGAGACAGCTAATACTTCTAACTCAGCTGGGCACAGCGGGCACGGGGCACAGCGGGTGCCAGGCGCGGCCAGGCCAGGGGCTTCTGGGAGGCAGGAACAGGCTGCCCCGAGCCAGCCCCTGGGCTGGGTTGTCAAAATCAGGAAGCCTGGTTGGGTTTTTGTTTTGCTTTTCTCTGTTTTTTTTTCCAAGACAACCTGCTAACCATAAAAAAAAAAAAAATACAGTGGGGCTGTGTGCAGGACTTCCTCCCACCCTCCTCATCCTCCTGCGGCCCTCCCCACTCTCCTCCCCCTCCCTCCTGGCCGCTGGCTCCTCCTCCCTCCTGCTGAACACGTGAAATGTCAGAGGAACCCTGGCCAGGCCTGGGGAAGTCCCGCGCCCCCCCTCCCCACCCGGGCGGACAGAAGGAGCTGGGTCAGCCGCGCCTGCTCCCCCGGCCCCCCGCGCCCCGACACCGACCATGACCGGGCTCATCACTCACAGAGCAGCCCTGACAGGTCCCCTGTGGGTGTGTCCTCCCAGCAGCAGCCCACAGAGGAAACTGGCTCCCGGTGCCAAAGCCAAGCCACCCGCGCACCGGCGCGCGGCTGCTTCCTTCAGTTTCAACACCGAGTCCCCACCCACCCGCTCGCCAGGCCCTGCCGGGCGGCCGTGGCCGGCCCGGGCACCCGAGGCCCGGGGAGGAGAGCCGAGGCCTCTCCCTGCAGGACCACGAGGCCCGGCTCCTGGGATCCCAGCCTAGCTCCCCTCGCCTCCTCCCTGCACAGGCGGAGAACGCAGGGCCTCTCCCAACCGGCTAACAGCACCTCCACCTGGGAGGTCACGGACTGCACGCCCCCATGGGGAGATGGGGGGCGCACCTGTGGCTCCCCCGAGCCCTTCCTTCCCGGGGCAAAGCCCCCCCCCAGGCCCTGGGAGGGGGGCAGTGGCCCCAGGCCGGCTCCCCCCCCCCCAGCCCTACCCTTCCCTCCCGGGCAGAGCCCCCCCCAAGGGCCGGCTCCCCCCCCCCCCCCCCCGCCCTACCCTTCCCTCCCGGGCAGAGCCCCCCCAAGGGCGGCTCCCCCCCGCCCTTCCCTCCCGGGCAGTGCCCCCCCAGGCCGGCTCCCCCCGCCCTTCCCTCCCGGGCAGTGCCCCCCCCAGGCCCCCGCGCGCCCCAGGCCCCGGTCCCGGCCCGGGCGCCAGGCGGGGCGCCGGCACCGACCTTCGCCGGGCAAGTAGTCGTAGTCGAAGAGGATGGAGAAGTCCAGCTCGTCCTGGGGGTCTCCCCCGGGCTCGAGGCCCGCGGCGTCCCCGCCGCCGCCCGCGTCGGGGTCGGGCTGCGGCCCCGGGGCGTCCATGGCGCGGGGCGGTGCGGTGAGCGGGTCCGGGGACCGCGGAGGGGGCGGCCGGGGGTCGCGTTCCTCCCGGGGGAGGCGCAGCGGGTCCTGGGCGCGCCCGGAGCCGAGCGGCGGCGGCGGCGGCGGCGGCGCGGGCTTCCTGCTCCGCAGCCACCTGTTGCCGCCCGCCGAGGGGGCGGGGAGGCGGGGCGCGCGGCCGGGCGGGCGGCGGGCGCGGGGGGCGGGGAGGCGGGGCGGGCGGCGGGCGGGGCGCGCGCGGGGGGCGGGGAGGGGGCGCCGCGCGCCGGCCCCGCCCCCCCGGGTCTGGGTTAGACCCGGGCCCGGGGCTCGGTGGGACCCCCCCCCCCACCCGGCCTCCCGCCCGCCGGACCCCGGGGCCCCGCGGCTTCCCGGCGTGGGAAAGAGACACGTGCTCCCGCAGTGCCGTCGGCTGCCCGGCACCGGGGAGCCGGGGCAGAGCTCCGCCCGCTCCCCCCAGACGCCCGTCCTCCTGACACCTGGGCTCAGGCCCAGCCCAGTGGCCTTTTCTTTTTTGGTCGGTCGTGGGGCTTGAACTCTGGGCCTGGGCGCTGCCCCTCGGCTCTTCAGCTCCAGGCCAGCGCTCTGCCACAGCGCCACTTCCGGGTTTCTGGCGGTTCATTGGAGATCAGATCTCAAGGGCTTTCCTGCCCGGGCTGGCTTTGAACCGCGATCCTCGGGTCTCAGCCTCCTGAGCAGCCTGGATGACAGGCGCGAGCCACCGGCGCCCAGCCCAAGCGTGCAGCCTGTACTGTGGTCGGGACGCGGAGGCAGCGCCCACGCTGGCGCTTCGCACAGGGCTGAGGGCGTGGTTTGGATGGGCAAGCCGCTCCAGCTTCATCTCAGTTCTAGGGTGATGGGGGGATCCTGGAGACCCCGAGCACTGTGGCTAGTCTCATGAGTCGGGAGCACTGATTGGGACGGCAGCTGCAGCAAGGGGTCTGTCTGCCCCGGGCCGGGCAGCCTGTCCCACGTGCACTTCCTGAACAGCTGCCAGGCACCTGCACCGCGGCGGGGGCTGGGAACGCAGCCATTCGCGGGGCGCAGCCCCACCCCTGGCAGGCTTCTGCCTCGGGAGCCAGGGACCCCTCTGTGAAGGGGGTTCCCACCGCACTGGGACGGAGCTCTGTGCCCGGGCCCCACCTGAGCACTCCGTGGGGAGATAGGCAAACGGTCTACTATCTGAGCCCCAACAGATGACTTCTGATTTAAACAGTCTTTGGGTGTGGGACCCTAAATCCCTGCTGGGTGCTCCCAGGGTGGCAACCCAGAGCCACAGGCCCAGCTCCAGGCACAGGGTGGCCTGGGAAGCAAGTCCTGGTGTCTCTCTGTTCCCTCCATACTGCTCACTGTGTATTCAGCAAGCACTCTGGGGGCAGCAGATGAGTCTGGATGGGGGGATGGGACGTGATGGCCCAGCCAGGACACTGAAGCCAGGTCCCAGGAGGAAGTGGGGTCCTCGGGTCTGCAGGACAGGCCAGGGGCCATGCCAGCAACAGCAGGAGAAAGCCGGTGACAACAACCCGCCCCAATCCTTTCAATCCCTCAACCTCCTAACAACACAAAGCTTCTAATCTAGCACGCATGTGTGCACCGGGCCAGCTCAGAATTGTTCCTTCCTCCTCTGCTAATAGCACCGGGGTGTTCCTTTAACAAGCACCTTTCCAATGGGCTGGAAGGTGGCTCAGTGGTAGAGTGCTTGCCTTGTGCGCATGGGTTTGAGTCCTCAGTACCACATACACAGAAAAAGCCAGAAGTGGTGCTATGGCTCAAGTGGTAGAGTGTTAGCCTTGAGCACAGAGAGGCTCAGGGACAGCGCGCAGGCCCTGAGTTTCAGGCCCAGGACTGGCGAAAGAAAGAAAGAAAGAAAGAAAGAAAGAAAGAAAGAAAGAAAGAAAGAAAGAAAGAAAGAAAGAAAGAAAGAAAGAAAGAAAGAAAGAAAGAAAGAAAGAAAGAAAGAAAGGAAAGAGAACACCTTTCCTTTCTGCTTCCCCTTCTTCCTCTCCTTTCCCCCCCCCAACCCCCAGCCTGCGCATGTTAGGCACGTGATGGACCACTGAACCTCAGCTCCAGCCCCGGGACCCTGGTCAGACAAGTGTCCACTGCTAGAGCAAAGAAGTGACTGAAAGACCCGGGCCAGCCAATCAGAGGCCTGGGCCTCCACTAGCCTGAGAGGTGGCAAGGCAGAGGCCAGTGGGCGCTTCCCCCCTTCACAGCTTCCCGGGAGTGGATTTGCAGCTGAATACAGACCCATGGGTGAAGAGGGAGGAGGAGGAAGGGAGGGAGGAGGGAATAGATGAATGGCTGTGTGGGTAGGTGAGTGGGTGGGGGGGGGTGGATGATAAGTAACAGTACAAATGACAACTAGCATGAGTTTCCTCCAAACACTTCTGACAGAGTCTGAGTGAGACCCCCAAGTACCCCTCATACACGTGAAAATGTTTGGTACCCTAGTTTTCAGTTAAGGAAACTGAGGCAGGCTCGGGTTGTGTGTGCTGCCCATGCTACCACGCGGGTCTTGTCCCATGCATGACTGGCACTGGCGGCCGGGTCTCATCCTGGGTTGTGGCAGAGAGTGGATCCGACACCGGACATTTCTGGGCCAAGCTGAATGACTTTCAGTGGACACGGAAAGCAGAGGGTGAAAGAGGAGCGACATGGAAAATCTAGGTGGGGCCCCGAGGAAGACGCTGGGTGCGGGTGTCCTGTGTCCGCAGAGTCACATGCTTCAAAGACAGGGACAGAGGGGGAGGGGAGGGAGGATTCTCTGCGGAACCCCAGTGCCCAGGGGGACACAGTTTGAGAACCCCACAGGAGCCAGCTCTGTGTGGGCTGGGCTGGGTGGGAGGGGCCACCGCAGAGATCCCGGCTGCTGGCACCGGGCTGCTGGCCCCTACAGCTGTCCCGAGCCCACTTCACCCTGTGAACTGGTACCCCCACCCCACAGGGTAACTCCGCTCAAGCCCTACCCCAGCTTATCTGCAAACAGGACCTCACTGGGAATCAGATCTTCCCAGCTGGGACCCAGGGAAGCGGGGAGGACTGGCAGTGGGGGTTCTAAGCCCACCACTGGGGCCTGAGATGAAGAGCGAGCACGGATTTGAACCTGCAGCAGGCAGGAGGCAGAGCAGACGGGGAGGCCCAGGACTGAGCACAGGAGCTAAAGCTGCACGGGATACACCACCGCAGCCCCCACCCCCCAGCCAGGCCCTGCCCCACACTTCCACCCCAGAACTGCAGAGTGAACGCTGCTGCTTTAAGCTGCCGGGTCCGTGGTCAGCCAGCAAGCTCCCACACACCCGCGGCTCACAGCGCCCTCTCCCCCTCCAGGCTCTCACATTTAACCCATCTAAGGCAACGTGTGGCCACCTCCTAGCACCCCGGCCCCGGAGGGCACACACAAGCCCCATGCAGGCTGCGACTGCCCAGCTCCCTGTCCCATCCCAGCAATCTGGACGGTAAATGGAGCTGGGCTCCCACTTGACAGCTCCTCTCTTACCTGCGGGGAAACAGAGTCACTTGAATTCGGTGACTTGTACCAGGTCTCGCAGCCAGCAAGCTGCGTGGTAGACAGAGGATCTGAGCCTCTGACTTAGCGCTCCAGCTGCCCGCCCCCGGGGTAGCAGAAGTGTCATTGAGAGCAGATAGGAGGCCTGGCCCCTGCCCTCCAGGAGCTTAGAACCAAGCAAAGGAAAGAAGGAAAGAAAGCTCTTGGCTGGCCTGACTCTCTCTGCCCTTCTGACCCCAGGAAGGGCGTCCTGCAGGGGGCGCTGTGGGGGCCAGCAAAGGCCTTCTCACAGGATGGCCTTCCCCTCATGGCGGAAGGAACCTTGCCTTCATCTCTCTGAGGCAAGGCCAAGCAAGACTCCCTGCCTGCCTCAGTTTCCCCATCTCTAACCAACTTGGGCCCCCCCCACACACACTTAGTTACCTCACCTGCCACATGGCATTATAGAAATTAGAATCATGGGGCTGGGAAGGTGGCTCTGTGGTAGAGTGCTTGCCTTGCATGCTTGAGGCCCTGGGTTTGATTCCTCAGCACCACATAAGCAGAAAAAAAAAAAGCCAGAAGTGGCACTGTGGCTCGAGAGGTAGAGTGTTAGCCTTGATCTGAAGAGCTGAGGGACAGGGCCCTGGCCCAGAGTTCAGGCCCCACGACCGGACCCAAAAAAAAAAAAAAAAAAAAAAAGAAATTAGAATCATGTTAGTACAAAATGAAAAGAGGGACTGGGAAGGTGGCTCAGTGGTAGAGCGCTCGCCTTGCATGCATGAAGCCCTGGGTTCCATTCCTCAGCACCACATACACAGAAAAAGCCAGAAGCGGTGCTGTGGCTCAAGTGGTAGAGCGCTAGCCTTGAGCAAAAGAAGCTCAGGGAAGCCGGGTGCCAGTGGCTCACGCCTGTAATCCTAGCTACTCAGGAGGATGAGGTCTGAGGATCTCGGTTCAAAGCCAGCCCAGGCAGGAAAGTCCGTGAGACTCTTATCTCCAATAAAACACTAGAAAATCGGAAGTGGTGCTGCGGCTCAAGTGGTAGAGCGCTTGCCTTGAGCTGTAGAGCTGAGGACAACACCAGGCCCAGAGTTCAAGCCCCACGACCGGCAAAAAAAAAAAAAAAGAAGCAGCAGCAGCTCAGGGACAGTGTGCAGGCCCTGAGGTCAAGCCCAGGACTGGGAAGGGGAGGGGGGGAAGGGGGAATGGAGGAAGGGAGGGAGGGAGGGAAAAGAAAAAAGGAAGCTAGGTCAAAAATACACTGGGACTCCATCAATTAATGATGCAGGACTCTAGGCACCCACACACAGTAAGACCTTCGGAAGAGACTCTTGGGGGGGCCATGAAGGTGCAGTGCTCTGTGCCTCTGATCATAGAACATAATATTTCTCGCCGGCGCCGGTGGCTCACGCTGTCATCCTCGCTACTCAGGAGGCTGAGAGCTGAGGATCACGGTTCAAAGCCAGCCCAGACAGGAAAGTCCGTGAGACTT